GCGAGTATTCCCTTCAACAAATTGGTTTTGTTGCGCCAGTTGAGATGGCTCGGTCAAGTCCTACGCATGGCACCTGAGCGTCTACCGCGTCGCGCTCTATTCGCTCTGGCTGTAGGCGACCGCGTGGTGGTCAGCCTTCTACATGGCGGCAACACATGAAATCGCTGACGTCGTGTCTAGCCGCTGTTGGATCCGTACGTCTTCCAGGATGGGGACCCAAATATGAGGAGTGCCAATGGCTTAACACACTAGAAGACATGGCCCGCAACCGGAATCAATGGAAGAATTGTGTACAGTATTGTATTGATTCAGGTGTTTAATACTACAACCATTAAACTGACAAAAAAGAGCAAAAACGGAGTGTGAAAACAAACTAAAAAATTTTTGTTCTACTTTTTGTCAAAATGTTCTATTCTTCCTGCAGCATATTAGTTGAAGTGAGTTGCTCACCTTCAACTAGCATGCCACGGTGATTATGAGGTGATGATTCTTGCTTATCCCCTAATCTCCATGGTTTTATTCTGGCTCAATGTCTAGTTAATAGACTGTTGAGGATACATACATACATACGATTGATTCAGACAGTTTGAGTCCGCTTCAGAAAGAGATAAACAACATGTTAATCACTTGCGCAGAGCACTAGTGAGTTTGAATTCATCCATCTTCACTCGAAAGCTACGTGAGTCTCCACGTGGAATACGTTATCCATGCTGGACAAATTTGACCAAAGCATGACCTCGCAACCCTCCAGAGCCCACAACAAAGAGCAACGAACGAGGCCAAGAGTTTGTGCAACCCTCCGTAGCAGAAACAGCTGAAGAAACTCGTAGTGTTCAATTGGCTCTACCGGTAGCTCCGTCGAGACCACATATTAGTACGCCAACTACCGAATGATACCAGTCCTACGTAGCTCAACCGTAACACTAGCGTAAGAGGTACTTGTATGAATTAAAGTCAATAATAAGGTTGTCTAGATTGTCCAGGAAATTATTTCTCCCTCCGGGTCCGTCAATCTTGGAACGCTCTTCCAAATTCACTTGTCTGTGCTCCCCACTTTGGCCATTTGCAAAATCGTCTGAGTGTCGCACTCAGCTCTCTACACTACTACTCTTCTGTAATCAGTACGCAGACCAAACTGCTTATAATGCCATAAGTTAATTGGCGGCTTAAGTTTGTTAAGCTCGTCGCTTGGTGAGGGGCTAACCTGTCCTCTGCACGGCAGTAACGTGTAAGTCAGTGGATAGTGAGCGGCGCTATATCACATCTAGTAACTTATTCACGATGGTCGTTGCCGTCCCCGTAGCTCAGTGGTCTCAACCACGGACTGGTAACAGTCGAGTTGCGGGTTCGAGCCCTACCAGGAGTCCGATGGAATGCGCACTGCTGATGATTCCCGAAAGGATGAAACGCGCGTACAGTGCTTTTCCGGGCGTGTGGCGGCTGTCTGAGTGAGTCTAGATGTGACGAATTCTACCTATCTCTACACTTTGTCACAGTAACGGCTACTATGGTGTGTATCCCGTGTAACTAGCTCTTTGGAATTATAATGCACACAGGTGTACACAAATCAATGTCGACGGGTAAAAAATCAGATTATCCTTTGCTATTTGCATTAAATCTGATGACTTATAATTCTGTTTCCTATGGTGATAAACTCACAACCATGCTTCTAATATGCGGCTACGTTGTCGTTCCACCGACACGAATGTTATGATGTCCGCTTGTGTAGTCTTCGAGTCTACAATTACATCCATTAGCAGTCCACGGAATCTGTCAAGCATGTGCTCTTTTACCCGTTGTAATTCATTATTCCATCATTGTTGCTCGCCATTACTCGAATGAACTCAAATCATTCGCTTAATCTGGGGTACGCTTAATTTGGTCAAATGAACTAACTAGTTGACACCTCTTCCAATACAACATACAACTCCCTTGGAGATCCACATGGAGCTAAGTACACAGACAACAGCCCATCTGCATTCGCTTTACCGTGAAGACATCGCGCATTTTCTTGCATTAAGAACATGAGGCCGCAACCCATAAGCACCTAAAAGGGGATAGGAGGTTTGATTCAGCGAACCTTGGACTAGAACGGGGCCACTGAAAACCAACTTGAAAACACTGGAATACTAAGTACGGGGTCCTTTTAAAGTACTGGTTGTGTGAAACGATTGCGACACGTAACCTCAAGGTAGACCGCGATTCCCGCTGAAGTAAACCTTGGTCAATGCGAGCATCGGAATCGTAAACGAAACAGATGGAAATTCGGTGCTGCCCAACCGAAAACGCTGCACAAGACGACGCGTCTCGACCTCCTATGTTCTCATCACGTGGAGATAGCAGGCTTTGAACCCGAGCCCCTTCAGTTAGACATTAACCGCTATAACAACCGTTGCTACGGTACCAGTGGTCGCATTGACCAGGGTTCATTACAATGTGGCTCGTGGTGTGCAAAATTGCGCGTCGTAATCCACTAGTACTTTAAAATGACCCTCCAATCAGTCATTAGCCGTTGTGACAAGCGTTGTACATCGTGACCCGGTAGCCAAAGGGGCAGAGGTTTCGGCTAATATTCCACTTGTCCCGGGTTAGAGGCCTTATATTTCCACCCGATGGTATCAAATGGGGTTGAAACGCGTCGTGGTGTGCAGTGTTTTCGAGCAGGCAACACCCAGTTTCTATTCACTGGAATACTACTTTAGGACTTCGGACTGCGTGTGTAAAATTGAGGCTTCGTGCAAGCGCCCAAAAAGCCGCATGCCAGTCAGTAGAGGCATGATGGTGGCAAAGTGTATCGGATTATTCCACAGTTACGGAACAGGGCACCGAAATACATGGTACGGATTCCTGTTATGAAGAAAACGAGAAGTAACCTATAAATAAAACAGTAACACAATCAGAATGATTTTGAGAACATGTTACAGTTCAAAATTGTTTGCTTTTTCGCATTGCTCCAATCATTCGCCTTCGAAAACGAAGACACATGTCCCAGCTAACACCGTCCTAACGTGACGTCAGTTTGCCACGGCTACCAATCCGGACATGCGTCAACTGGCGCACGGATTCGGTCACAAAACATGGGTGCGTCTGACTCATACAGTTGTTTGTCTTCAGACGCGTTGAATACCAAATAGTTATTCGAGGAGAACTCCTTCTTCATCGGTGAAGCAAAACAGCCATTTCCACCAGGCAGTTTTCACCACCAGCAGTTCATCTTCCATAGGTAAGACATCGTATACTTTTGAGTTCGTCCATCAAAGTATTTCTGGTAACAACTTTATGTTGACTCTTCAGTACCATTCCCAATAACCGATATGCATATGTATAGCTGTAAATATACATATCTGTTATTGCTAATGATATTACGATGCCAATACAAAATGCATGCATCTACAAGCTTTCGTCTTCTTACAGTGCTTTTCAGATTGGTGAAGGGAGCTTTTTGCTTTTAAACTACTTTATGATCGGAGAAATCCATCACGCGTCCGGAAAATGTTAGCAGTGTGCATAGCATCTGTATCCTGCGAGACTAGAACCCGGTATCATACTATTGTAAATGTGTGTGGTTGCGTTCACTGGGCCACCATAGACGGCAACGCTCGAAATGGTTACATTTGTGTCACTGATATTGGACTACTGCCTATTCAACGAGGTGCACGTTATTTCCACTCACAGGAGAGGGTAGACCCCACCATACTATTTCATTTTACTTTTGGCGCTGTCAAAATATTGGTGCGAAGGGTATGGTTGGTAAACTGATGTAAAACTGTTGTGAATGCCCTGTTTCAAGTCCGATTGTTCTTGCTCGAACCATCTCTCCGTAGTGAGCCTCGAACCATTTTCTTAAACCGAATCACTTGAAAGTTGGATACCAGCCTTATCTTGAGATCGAAAATCCTCGCTAGGGAAATGGTACTATGGTTGTTCTCAACATAGCAGTCTACAGTTACCACCTTTGTGGACCTAACGACTCATAATCCATCCAAATGTCAGAGGCCAACCCACTTCACAGTGTTTCGCTATCCAGTATAAAACGCTACCACCGAAAAAGTATATGAACCACTGCTCAAGCTATTGAAACTTTGCGGGGTTTCCTGACCCAACGAACTGAAGGTGCAAGGCCTTGTGACGAATGGCGGACTCAACAACTGTGTGCGGGCACCTTCTGACCGAGTAAATATCCCCTTCCACTTGAACGGTTGACCAACATTGACAACGATCAGTGTGAGAAGTGTCCCGACTTCTGACCCTGTCCTATTGACCAAGCTTAAAAAGTGTTACTAATAAGATCGCCGTTGAGAATGCGTATTGCAACCCAAACAAAAAGTGATCAGTCCAACCGAAAACACATTATCAATCCGGACTAGCCTCACATTACTACTGGGGGTGTCGCTTGTAAACTCCGGCAGTCTGATGGTCAAGGCATAATGTTGGTGGTAACAAAGCCGAAATAGCTATGAGGCCGATTGATATTTGGTGTCTCCCATCAGAATCGTGGTCCACATTGAGATTGCACGTTGTAATTCATGCGTATAATGAGTGCTTCAAAATGGCCCAACAAGCAGTAATGAAGCCTGTTGTGAAGTACAAATTTGTGAGGGAGCTACACAAAGACCAGTATGTAGGTGGTCAGTTCGCGTATATAACCGCGGGGAAGATAGTTGGTAGGTTAGGAGTAGAGAAGAAAGGAAGCGAGAGCAAAATAGAGTGTTTCGATAACCCGCCAAGTCAAAAAGAAGCACGACCCGGATTGAGATTAAGTGCAGGAACCAAATGTGTGCTGCAGATAGGCCTACAATCAGGACTACCTCGTAAACTACTAAGCTTTTGAAGTCGCAAACCGCACCACCCTAGATTTGAGCTGATCGCTCAGGGCCTTCTGCAACACAGAGTGGTAACAAAAAAGAGATAGCAATTGTGTATGGTGCAAATAACCAGTAAGGAACTATACTAAAGCCTGTACTACTCATGTTTGAGCTAAAATGCTCAACAGCGCTCACCTGGCGGGTTTCGTTTGACCCATCTTCCGTACCCTGATGGTACAGTATGTGACCCGAGGGAAGTGACCGGTTCGTTCCCATTCCACTCCAGTGGTCAGATCTTGTAGTAATTTTAGGCCAAAAATAGTGCTGTTAAATCCAGTGAAACGTTTCATCATGTAAATTTGTCCGACGGAATTGGCAACAAACAAGACACGAACAAAGAGAAAGAGCATGGTCAATCGAGCGTTTGGTGGGACACCACACAGGCACCGATGTACCAGAGATTTGATGCGTCTAAACCGAGACTGAGACTCTGCTTGTTCCTCAAGAGTTGCCACGAGACATGAGACTGCTTTCAACCGCAGCTCACGATCAGGTATGGCAGCTTCTCGAGCGGATTTGAGCAATAAGGGAAGTCGACGAGATCCTACTCGCCACAGCAGATGTGGTACCCAAGACATCATGGCTTGACCGGCGAGTACAATGGCGACCCACTGATAATATCCGATAAATTTGATTTTCTCATAATCAACCTGATCGGTGGGGATTTCTTCATTTGGCAGAAGAAAATAGGTATTGGAAACCCAGCACAGATTCTCCGCATATTCCTCCCAGGATTTGGTGAACTCCTGTGGCACCCAACATTGAATCGGCTTTCCTGAATGGAAATACAGAAAGACGAACTTGGGTTGTATGTATAGTAGATTAGAAATAAGATCTAAAGAAGATACTATTAGGAAACATGTTACTTATGATGCTAACTAGCCACAAACTCAGTAATATATAGAAAGCAGTGTAATAAACCCACTCTCAATGAAAGTCTGGAGTAGAGTATGACCGGTGGGTTAGTTTCTGAGTGCCAAGTTTAAACGTCGCATGTTCTTAATACATTTTATACAAACTGAAAACTACGGATGTTATTAATGTTAGAGTGCGAAATGACAGAGGGTGACAACAATGAGGCTGACGTCTACGAAACTCTCTAGCTTCGCTGATGGATCCCCCATGCGATTAAGTTAAATATTTAAAAATTGTTTATTGTACGCTGCTAACAACACTAACATTATATAAGTTTTGCAATCAGTCACTTCTCATGTAGTTTAATTCTGCTTGACGAATCGCAAGGCAGGGAGCAAGAATCTTTGCCTTGTTGGCATAAGCAACAGCACTCAGGATAGATTGCAGGGCTTACGAAAGTCTGAAAACTGCAGCACATTTTCGAGAGATCCACTGAACAGCAACCGAATATAAGATGAGAGTGTACTGTTTCTACTGCAATCCACGGGCCATAGTAGATGGACTGCAGAACAATCTCCTCGTGGTGGTTCGGGATTATCTCGTTCTAGCAAATAGCTCGGTGCCAGTGTTACAGAAAGTGGTGGATCTTCGTGTGATAAGTGTTCTCCCCATAAATAGCCATATAAGTCTATTTAACAACACTGTGACGTGGCGGATGTGACTCGTCACTAACTAAAGTTACTGCATGTAGATTCACTCCGGTGAGGCACCGTATTCTAGCAGCGTGCTGCGGACTGTATAGGGGGATCGGGCCACTGTTTAGCAACCCACTACACGGAAGGCTTATAAACTGTGTAATTGGTCACTGGCTTCCAATGAGTGCGATTCCCTGACTTCTCTCCCCTGTCTGGTTGGCCGAATAAGCAAACAAAAAATGAGAGTAGTATCCCCCAACAAAAATTCCTACTTCGACTTGGTTAACCGGGTAGTATCGACCCGCTCGACAGAAGCATAGATTTCGCAAATGCTACCTTGTTCTTAATTTCTTCAATACTGAAGCACCTCCGATATATCTCAAACTTATCTGGGTTTATAAGCCTCGTTTCATGACAGTGGAGGATAAGACGTACTATACTCCGGTTGGCTTGTAAATCCTGACAGGTTACCGCCGTTCCCCAAGATTTACTCGCATAAACTGCTACTTAGCGGCTCAAGCCACTAGTGACCAGGGGGTCAGATCCTGATGGAATCGATGGATGCGCACCACTGACGAGCCCACATAGGATAAAATGGCAGTCTCGTGCTTTCCCGGACATGTGGTACACTATCAGTTTATGAAGCCGCCGCGTAGAACGCCCAGTTACTTATAGGTAGTTTGAATCTAAATCACATGCCCAAAGAGCCAAGCTAGTCTCCCTCCTTCTAGCCCGATTGTCCTTCCAGCAAGTAGCTTTCAAGCATTGGACGCCACGCAGATTAGGTAGCAGACGCGCACCATGGAGTCCCTCGCTACCGCTGTTTGCAGCGTTTCTGAAAGTTGATTACAGGACACCAAGTTTGTCGTACTGAGGTCCCTTCTGAGCTCGGAACTACATATTTCCCACATCTGTCTGGTGACACTGAAGAATCTGAATCTGTCTTTGCTGGTGTTGACATCACATTGAGTGAAAAAACAGGCCGCACTGCTCGACTGGTTCCCGAGTGACTATCGACTGCTTGCATTTCGGCTTCATTGCTCGTGCAGGATCAACACAGATCGTGGACGCAATTTGTTTGTGATCTAGGCGTACGCCCGAACAGATGGCAGTTGTGCATTGGTCGAGGATGACTTTTATCATGGGCTCTGCCAGCTTTTGAGTGAACTAAAAGTCATCCGTTATCATGCATTCCGGAGATTTCAACGCACGGACCGGGCGCTTACTACCACGCGAACGTCATCCTAGTGACCATCATGCGCTTTATGAGGATCGAACTGACAACAGAGATAGGCTTCTCACCTTATGTGAGGACAATCGACTCTTTCTCTCGAGCACGAACTTAAAGCACGTGGGATGACGCACCGCCACGTGGGGTCCTCCTTCGCCAGGACAATCCTGGTCACAAATCAGTCAAAATGCAGTCAGCTTCAGATGGTGGGGCATTCTACGGGATCGTAGATCCATTCGGTCCACCTACCTAAACACAGGTCACTTTCCGGCCTGTGTAGACATCTGCATGCGCTTCTGGAGTTCCTCAAAACCGAAGCACTGTCCCACGGACACCAACAAGCTAGTTAAACCCTACATTCAGCTGACTTATCAATCGTCCTTGTCGGATGCGTTCGCTAGTGTTCCACCTCAAGACGTCGAATATCATGGAAGATTCCTGAAGAAAGCGATACTCTTTTCTGCTCAATTAATGTGTAGAATCATTGAGCGACTTATGAGGGGCTGATCTCCGCTCGTTGCTTAAACATTTTTGACAATGGTATAGTGATCCCAGCTGATCCGAACAGCAGTGAAACCCGCTGCAACCTCAGGCAGTAACGCAAGGGAAGTCTGTGCAAGGATGGTGAAACTTGGTGGCCTCAATGCGCCTCAGAGGTGGAGACAGCCCCACATTCGTGGAACTTTCGTAAGTTCTTTCAGATCATTTGGACCGCTGGCCACAGAAGACCTGGCGTTGGTAAGGCTGTTTGCAAGGTTGATGGATCATCAAACACCAAATTGCGTAGTCGCAAGGAGCTGAGCACTTGCACTCGCAATTCAGATGGCTTCCTCCGACTGTCTGACCGGCATGCCTAACTGCGTGCTGGAACTTTTCACTTGAACGACCCACCGAGATGAGGGTCTGTCTTGGGTTTCATCAATTGAAGAGATTTAACGCCGCTAGCTTAAACTGACTTCCTCCGGAGTGATTGAAGTGCGATGGTGAGGCAATTACCAACTAGTTAACAGCCTAAAGATTTGGCGCGAAAGGATGATTTCAACCTCTTTGGGAGAGTCGATTATCTTCCCGCTATTCAAAAAGGTTGTCCGTACCTTCTGTAACAACCACGAAGGACTTAACCCTATATACATTGCCTTCAAACTGTTAAGATCCATTCAACTCGGCACACTAATCCGGATTCGAGAACAGCAATCCCGTAAAGAAAGGACTGGTTTCCATCACCGCCGGGGTATAAACCACATATTTACGCTCCACCAACTTCTCGAGCAGCGTTAGCTGTGCCGCCAGCTTACCACCGTCACTATGTTGGATATCCAAGCTGTTAAACTTGGTCGATCAATCCGTTTTATGCTGTAAACTGCAAAAGAATGGGGTAACCGAGAAGTATTTACCATACTTCGGGTATTATAAAGCAATGTCTCGGGCGGAGCGAGGGCTTATTGTAATGCCTCGTAAACTTTCGCCGTCACTAGAGTTGTACGACAGAGATGCTCCATGTCCCCGTTTCTCTTCTATTTTGTCCCTGAGGTTATTCTACTGAGCACCCTGGAAGACCTCCAGGGTCATGGCGGATAAGTACTTCAAGGCAAACATGCAACTAACTTCGACTGTGCTGAAGATATTTCTGTGCTCATTGACGACCACAGGGTGTGCATGTGATTATAAACCCCTTGCCAATTGAAGATGTCAAGTACTGCATAACCGTTGTCTACACGAAGTACAAAGTCCGAATTCAGAATTAGCAGCCAGTAGCCCCAGTGTTAACCAATGAAGACACGCAGCTAGCTTCGTCTACCTGGGAAACTGCGTTTCTGCTGATGGCATCATCGGAAGGATGAATTCTCTTCGTATTGTCAAAGCCGGATCAGCGTTTGATAGTTTCATGCACCTATGGTGTCATCGTAACGTTTCACTCTACGAACATGGTAGGATCTATGATATCCATGTTCGCAAGGTACTGTTGTAAAGAAGTGAGTCCTGACCCATTCGTGTGAATGAAATGCTTCAGGTTCCTGTATTTGACACCGGTTGTCTGCGGAGGATAACTTTGTGTGGTGAGAACTCCACGGTTGTAAAGTCGATATTAGACGTCGCATCTTTGGTACTAGGGGCTTCCTTCTCGACAGGCGAGTACCGCTGGGCCAACTGCGATGAATGGGTCACGTTTCGCGCATGCCGTGTGAGCGAATACCAGGTCGCGTTCTATTTGCTTTCCAAGCGTGACACTAAAAGAAATCGTGGAGTAGTCAGCGCACCGCATTGAAACAAAGTTCAAAGCGAAGATTTCCGGTTTACCGATTGTCGGTCACTTAGGTCTTCCGGGCTGCAGAGCCACTGAAGAAGAATAGCGCTAGTCGGAAACTCTTGTGGACATGCCGCGGAGTCAGACTCAATGGAATATGTGTACGAATTCAGGCATTTAATATATTGATCAAGACCGTAACAATAAACCGATAAAAGCGACCAAACGGTGAGTGAAGATCACAAAATTACTTTTTTCATCAGTCCCCCACTTTGTGATATTTGCACTTATTAGATAAAGTTATTCCATCCTTTCTGATTGCTCTATGTTTCTTCTACATATAGTTATTGTTATATATATATATATATATATATATATATATATATACTGACCATGGTACAGACTTCAACTCTGTTCAGTTCAACTATATGGACCCACGGACTCTTCCCTTTAATTAGCTTGTTGTTACAAGGCGTTTATTAGAACTACTTTATTTTAGGTTTTTTAAGTTCAATTGTCTGTGGCTTGATGGGGTGACAAAATGAGTTTGGCGCTACCAACCATGGTGGACCTTACCGGAACTGAAACCTGAGATGTCCATCCATTCCAGAAACAAAACCCCAGATGTGCATAAATGCCGCTCCTGTAGTACCAGTACTGACCACACAAATGAAGAGAAAAAAGGTGTCTAACATACGAGCACAGGAGTCTCAAACGAAGTTTCACTGAGACTCTGGTGAACGTCAACC